GATCCGAAAGGGTTGAAATCTTATACTCTTCTTGTCAATTTTTTGTACGTCTCGTCTTGTAGGTGATCGGAGGACGGTATTTCTACGTGCCTCCTGGAAAGCGCTGAGACATGGCCAGGCGAACATGGACGTGCTCATCGTGTTGGCTACGACGATCGCCTTTACATACTCGATACTTGTTCTTATTATTGCTTTGATTCTGAAGGTAACTTGATGCTTAAAAATGCTTGCTTCAGTTGCAGCGGTGATAATTAAGGTGGCCATCGAGTCCGATGACGTTCTTCGATGTCCCTCCTATGCTTATTGTGTTCATTTCCTTAGGACGTATGTTGGAGCACAAGGCAAAGGTAAACGCAACAAGCAAAAAGGCATCACTTTTGCCATGAAATATGCCTGTTCAGGGGAAAACGTCGGAAGCATTGAGTCGATTGATGTCACTCCAAGCAAAGGAGGCCACCCTCATAACAATGGACTCCGAGGGTCGTGTTACCTCTGAAAGGGGAATTAATATCGAACTGGTAATTAGATTTCACTTGACGACAACGCTCGAATGCATTTCAATTTGCGTTTTATGATTTAGGTTCAACGTAACGATTTGATCAAAGTGATACCAGGTGCAAAAGTGCCGGTCGACGGAATAGTGGTGGACGGACAGAGTTCAGCGGATGAGTCCTTTATCACAGGAGAATCCATGCCGGTTGTTAAAAAAGCCAGGTGAGCATTGAGACAATGAGGCAAAGGGCGAAAAGGAGGCAACAGTCGTTACACGCATTTCCGCACAAAGTGTACTTACTAAGCAGCTGGACCGTCTCACCTTTCCTGGTTTACTGACGGGTTGGGATGTAATTGAATGACCCTAGTTGAAGGGAGGGAAACCCAGACCTGAGGGCAAACCTCGATGGTGAAGGATAAAGTACTCTAATACAAAGTTGTGGGTGCTTGTTTATTCCGGACTGGAGAAAAAATTGAGAAACTGTCGAGAAAGTCGTTAATGGAACTCCCTTACTACCCCCGGGACGAGGTTAGTATGGTGGACGTGGGCGTTTGCATGAGTTTCCGGGCTCTTAGCTCCACGGGCCATATGCTAACCGTCCTGCAGGGGACGCGCCGTCCTCCGTTGAAGCAGGCAAGTAGAGCTTGTACACTAAGGGTGCATTGCTGGGTTTACGGAGCCTCTAGCGCACATGTTGGACATCAGCGGTGGTCCGCCACCCTACTATGATTGCGATAGGACTTCGTATTCGTAGACTGTACCTAATCGCGCACCATGCCTTCGAACTTTGGGTTTGAGCAAAAAGAGAGGCCGGACGCTCATGACCTGGGAGGGGGAGGGGAAAAGGGGGTAGGGGGAGGGGAGGGAGACATCCAAGTGAGTGAGCCAATTACTGTGCTTGGGACTAAGCCCTAGGGAGGGGAAGGGATCCTGGGGAGCATGTGAGCAATTTGCGTTCTCCCTGGCGTTTCTCCCTATGCTGGGCTTAGTCCTAGTCTCACCTACCATCGGCCCTGTTTTGAATATCCAATATCCCCCCTCTCTAAGGACATGAGCGCCGCGAGGCCGAATACACATTTCAGTAGCACTGAGCTTGGTTGCGTCAATTGGAAGGCATACGAAATCCTCAGAGATTGATCAAAGCTTCACGCTTCACACTTTTTTTTACCACCACAATCGTTTTGTGTTTTTTATCAGCAGCAAAAAGTTTTCAGGAAGCATTGTCATTGGAGGATCAGTGAATCAAAAAGGTGTGCTGATCATACAAGCAACCCTTGTTGGACAGGACTCGACTTTGGCTCAAATTGTGCGGCTGGTGGAAGAAGCGCAGACGAATAAGGTATACTTTTGGACCATTTGATAAGTGAATTTACTTGTGTTTCTTTGATCAGGTCTCTTACTTCAATTGTGTACCGGATAGGAATCAATGAATGAATACTACTCGGCCGTTCATATCTGGTTCAATACAGAGATCCGTTGTTCAGGCTCCGATCCAACAAATGGCCGATCGCATTGCTGGCTATTTCGTACCGTGTGTTATTTTCTTGGCATTACTTACTCTAGTCGGGTGGATTGTGATTGGGTACATGTCGCAGAAATATGTAAATATGGTCAGTCAACTTTTTCTCTATACTTTCGACATATTAGCAATTTTTGCC